AATAAACCAAGAGATTCTAAATGCATTAGTTCGGATGGTCCCTCACCCGGCACCAGCTTAACTCCCTAACAGCATGACCAAGTCAAACATAATCTTCTATACCGTTCGGAGTTTTTTTCAGGGTTTTTTTTGCCTTGAACTTGATCAGTTCTACTGTTCCAAACCGTCTAAAATGAAGCATTGATTTCAATACACACAGATCGAAATAAATATTATTTTCAATCGATTGACTCAAGGATAATTTATAGTATGTATTTAGAAAGAAAAGTGAGAAAAACTCGAAGTGTTCACGGTCGCGATAGTGTCCTCGCTTAACAAATATTATAAAATAACTCAGTTGTTTAATGAAGCATAGCCACTAGGGCACTGATTTGCCTTTAGGGTTTCTAAATATTAGGGCTTTTTCTACATTAGTTTATTGGCATGTTTTACTTAATAAAAAACGTGAAGAATCTAAATCTATTTTTTATGAATATTCAACTCCATATTTCATCACTAGGGTGAAATTATAGCATCATAACGCTGAAAAAAAAAAAAGAAATATATCCCGAAGATTGCCAAAAAACACTTGAATATGATAAAGGATGCTTGGAAGTTCACGGCTCTTGAAGCTAGACTCATTTTATTTGAGTTCTGTATTTCATCATTATCATTAAGGACTTCAATAACACGTCCTAGTTGTTCAAGGGTTTCTCTACGTCAACAGAGTTTTTAAAATCATGTTTGGGCTATAAAGCATATTTCTAGTGTTGGTGTTTAAATAATACTGATTAAACTTACTGGTTCCTGCTTCGGTTTTTGTCCGGAAATTCAACACAACGCATTCAGTGGTTTAAACGAAGCAAACAAAGCATTTTTTACATTAGCCAGTCTATTAAGGATGTCAAAACATATTCTTGGCACGGTTTTGTTGGCTGCATTGTTGGATTTCACGGGATTGAAGTTAATACTACGAAACCTGCCTTTTTGCACGCTCGGCCAAAAATTTTTTTGTTTTTCTAGAACTTTATTCAAATCATTTTTCAGTCCTTTTTCCTTTGCTTTGCTGAATTTTTTTTTTTTTTTTTTTTTTTTTTTTTTTTTTTTTTTTTTTTTTTTTTTTTTTTTTTTTTTTTTTTTTTTTGAATTTCCTATCATTTTACAGAATCCAAGTTATTGTTTACGTTCATTACTCTTTTTTGCCTTTAATAGAATAAGATTATATGAGGAACGCCTCGATTTCAAAGATCAATTCGTTTTCTTTCATAACATCACGTATAAGAGACTTCATCTATCTTTCCCAGCAAGAGATGCTTCAAGTTAACAAAATGGTAGCATCTAGTTTGAAAAAGAACATAGATTTAGTTTAAAAGATTTTTTTWAAAAAACAATTGAAATTTATGATATCAAAGGTACCGCACTAAATAGGAAATGGTCGGTCATCGTCAGCAAATTACGAAGACTAACATTTTCATTAAGATAACAAAACTGAAAAGAGCTTAGAAATTGGAGAAATAGCTTAGGTGAGCGGAATGTCCTTTGACAGTGAAATGCGTCGTATTTATGAGTTCAAAATGTCGACTAAGATGTTTCTTTCTTGACAGACTGTGTGATGCCTCTCTGAGAGACAATAGATAATGCATCTTGCATACCGTGTCGAAGAGTGACTGTTTTTAGAAAATTCATAATAATTGACCAAATGCCGGATGCAAAGAGAATAAACTTTGTGTCACGTCCCACGCAGTTCATTTTGCATTGTTTGTTTTGGTCGTTTGTGATTGGTTCGCTGTGAAAAAATGATAATTGTGATGGGTCGTTGTTAATTTGTTAAAAGGTCGAGTTCAGGTAAATATAACAGGACTGAGTTGAGAGTTTGATCCATTCGGAAGCTACCTTGGAAGACCACCACAGCGTGTATCAGCCGTACTCAAGGTTAGTTGAAAACAGAAAAAAAAATTCTTTATGCATTTAGTTTTATCGTCGCTTTTTACTTTCAGTTTCTAATTCACTCTTTCTTTTTTTTCTTTTTTTTTTTCTTTCTTTTTTCTTTTTTTTCATATCTTCGCACTTTTACAATGATTTATAATTATAACATAAAAAAATAAGATGAAATAATGAAATATATAATTGTATATTTCTTAAGAAACTTATCGTAGTATAGTAAAAATTGTTATATATTTTTGAAATATTTTTCAGTTGTAAAACTTAAAATATCGTAAGGCTTCAGCAACAGGGTGTCAGCGCATGATCGACATTTTCCACAACGTTTATAGTTTCTAACTATCGCATACCTCGCTTCCCTTTTGCGTTACTGCTGATTAAAAAAAATTGTTAGAAACGTTTTAAGAGAGAATTCTTTTCGTATTCAAGCAGTGAGCGCCAAAGACTATTTTCTTGAAGAAAGGCTGTTGTACAAGGCTAAAATCTTGTTATTCAGAAAGTTTAACTTGATTGAAAGTGAAGATAACTGATGAAAGTGGAATCAAAGTGTTAACCCAAAGCAAAAATTTTATTCGAAAATGAGGTTTAGGCTTTCATTTGCTTATTTCCCATATATTTTCTATAAAAAGAGCCTGACAAAGCAACATTCTAACACAAATGCAACAAAACATCTTTGTACAATTGAAAATACTGCTTCAAACAGGCATTTTATCATAGTACATCAGTTTCTAACTGTAAGAAAGGTTTTGAGTGTTAACCCAAAACGAAAATTGGGATCAAAACTCATATGAAAGTCTAATTTTTGGCGCTTTTTGCCATTATTGCTCGTTATTGAAAAAAAATTTCCTCTTAATACATTACCGAAGGATATTTACTAATCCGTACATTCGCTTTAAGTTCGGATAATTAATCAATTCGTAATTGTCTGTCATGAAGTTCTTTTCAGTATCGTCCACATATCTCGTACCACTAATCTCGTTGCAATAGCTTTAATAAATCTAAATTGAAACTTCAATGTATAGAACAATTCTTCAATGTATTTTCCACTGATTGCTATCAATTCATTTTTAAAAGCGAATTCAGTCAAACCTGACGATCTTTTACATTATTTGTGTGTTCACAATTGAAAACACCGTTTTCCATTTATCGTAATCATAATCACAAAATGTTACTGACAAAAAAATATCCAACAACAGAGACTGCATGTCTTTAACTGTTGAAATCTTTATTTGTTTGATATTTTAAAAAATTTAAGAAACAATTTAAGTCGGAAATACATTTTTTTATCGGATATTGAAGCAATTTGCTCCAGATTTCATGGACGTATAATCTGTACACTAGATATCAAAGATATGAGGTTTTCTTCGCGGTTATTACTGGTAATTCTTAAGATGCTATGATTACTAATTCATGAGGTTCTTTTTTTCTT